TAATGGGCAGGTCTATAGAAAAAAAAAAAAAAAACTTGGCAACACATTTAAACAAGGAAATTAAATACCTCTACAGTGAAAACTATAAAACATTGAAGAAAATATTTAAAATGACAACAAGGAAATAGGTATCCCATGTTCAAGGATTGGGTGAAGTAATGTCATTAAAATGTCCAAACTACCCAAAGAAATCCATATAATTTGTGCATCCCTAGCACTATGCCAATGCCATATTTTCACAGAACAAAAAAAATATATAAAATTTGTGTAGAATCACAAAAAGGCCTGAATAGTCAAAGCAATCTTGGAGAAAAAAAAATATGGAATCACCACAAAATCTTATTTTAATATTCTATTCTAATGAAAACAAAGCCATGATAATCAAAATATACTACTACAATTCAAACAAATCTGTAGGAATCAAAACATATCATGCTGATATAAAAACAAATGTATAGACTAATGAATAAGGTGGTGATCCAAGAAATAAGCCCAAACTTTTAACATCAGTTGATGTTTTGGGGTTTTTTGTTGTTTTTTGTTTGTTTTTCTTGGAGAGGTTTTTGCTATAGGGCGCGTGTGCTTGCCTGACAGACAGAGACAGAGAGACAGAAAGCAAGAAATCACCCCCCGGGGGATGGCCATGCCGCAATCCCTTCTCCTCCATTCTCTTGGGATCTTGGGCACGCATGCACACATGCCCAGCATGAGTTTTAAGCCACCAGGTCTGGGGCTCGAACCATGGTCGACTACATGGAAGTCCAGAAACATAGCCATTACGCTAACTGCTGATCCCCAACATCAATTGATGTTTGATAAAGGTACCAAGAACACGCAAGGGGGTAAGAAAAGTTTCTTCAATAAATAGTCCTGGAGAAACCTTAATATCCACATGTAGAAGAATAAAATTGGACCCTTATCTCATACCATGTACAAAATCAACTCAAAATGGATAAAATCACTAAATGTAAGAACTGGAATTGTTATTCTACTAGAAGAAAATACATGTAAAATCGTCTTTGTCAGGAAAATTATTTTATTGCATATAGTACCAAAAACACAGGCCACAAAAGCAAAAATAAACTGGATTACATCAACCTAAATATGTTCTGTACAGCAAAGTATACAAACAATAGACTGAAGAGAAAACTTGTGGAATGTAATAAAATGTTTCATGTCATTAAAAAGGATAACATCCAAAATATATAAGAAACTTAAACAGCTCAATAGCAAGAAAACAGCAATTAATGTGTAGGCAAATGACCTGAGTAGACATTTTTTGAAGTAATACATACAAATAGATGATAGAAATATGAAAACATTCCTAATATCACTAGTCTTCAATGCAATGAAAAGGAAAACAACAATGAAATATCACCTCACGCTTGTAAGAGTAGCTATTATCAAAAAGACAAAAGGTACAAAGTCTTGCCAAGGGTATATAGAAAAGAAAAACTTTATATGCTGTTGGTGGGTATGAAATATATGTAGTTATATAAAATAGTATGAATATTTGTCAAAACAATTAAACATAGAAATACCATGCGATTCAGAAATCCCACTTCTGGGTATATATTTGTAATAGTCTGAATGTTTATGTCACCACAAAATTGATATGTTGACATTCTTACCCTCAAATTAATAGTATTAGGAGATGAGGCTTTTGAGGAGTGATCATGTCATGTGGGTGAAGACCTCACAAATGGGATTACTGCACTTTAAAAAAAGAAAATCAAGAGAAACCCCTGTCCTTTACACCATGTGAGGTTAGAGTGAAAGATGGTTGTATATGAATAAGTAGGTCCTCACTAGACATTGAATCTGCTGGTGCCTTAAACTTCCCAGCCTCCAGAGCTGAGCAAAATAAATTTCTGTTGTTTATAAGCCACATTATTTATGATCATTTTTCATGGCAGCATGAAGGACTAAGAGAAAAAAATTGGTACCAAGAAGTGAGAGTGCTGCTGTAACAAATATCAAAAATGTGAAAGCAGCTTTGGAGACAAGTTATGAGTAAAGACTGAAAGTAGATGGAGGTACATGCTAGAAAAGCCTACATTTCCATGAATGGACCATTTTGGTTGATTCTGGTGAGTCTCATAAGGTCTCTTAATCTTTTTAGATAATCTCTAAGTAGTTATGAACAGTGTATTGGTAGAAATATAGATGGTAAAGACCATTTTGATGAGGTCTCAGACAGAAATAAGGAACATGTCATTTATTGGACAATGGAAGAAACAATGTATTATACTTATTATAAAGGGCAAAGAACTTGACTGAATTATGTTCATGTTCTAATGTTTTCTGAAAGGTACAACTTGTGAGCTATAAAATTGAATTTTTCACTGAGAAAATTTCTAAGTAAAGTATTGACAGTATGACATGCTTCTCTTGACTTCTTATAGTAAAATGATAAATGCAAAATAACTTTATGGCATTTTCAATCAAAAGGAAAGTAGAGCTTAAAATTTTGGAAAATACTTAGCCTACCCATATTGGATAAATGAGAAGTCCTGTTGAGGATAGAAAAAGGGTGTGGATGGGGATCAGCAGGTGGCATGATGGTTAAGGTGCTGGACACTCCCACATGGCTGACCAGAGTTCGAGTCCTGAATCTGGTGGCTTGCTTTCTCACTTCCTCTCTCTTTTACTCTTACCCTCTGTCTCGCTCTGGTCAAATTAAAAAATAAATGAATGAATAAATAAAATAAATAATTTTTTTTTTTTTAAAAAATGATGTGGCTAAGCAATTGTTTGCCAAAGAACTTAGATCATTTATCTCAATAGAAGCCAGGTACTGTTGACAAAAGATGAAGAGATTAGTCAGCCACCTAAAGAGATGCCAGGACCTATTATCCAAGACAATGGAAGAATAACCCCAAAGGCATTTTAGAGACAATTTGGCCTGCCCCTGTCACCAATAGCTCAGACTAACAGGGGTAGGGATGGGGCGGGGGAAGGGAAACAGAAAAATTCAAAGAAGGGGTTGCTGCTGTCCACTCACAAAATGGTCTTTGCTCCCCACACTCCTTTCCTGTGCTCCTTGGCTGCCTCAGGGGTGGCTCCAGTAGGCTTTAGTGTGGTGTGCACTGCACCCAGCAAAAGCTATAGGGGGCAGAGTCATTCAAAGCTGTGGGGACTGGCAAAGCGTGGAAGGTAGGACTGCAACCAAAAGGGTCCAAAAGGCAGAACCTTCAAGCTAAAGGGCCTGAAGGACAGAGCATCAAACCAAAGATTATTATTGAGACTTAAAATTTTGAATTGGATAGTCCTTGCCCCCTTTTGTCTTTCCTATATTTCCATTTTGTAATAAGATGTCATTACTGTGCCTGCCAACCATTGCATTTTTGATGTATGTAATACATTTGATGTCACACACTTACAATTGGGGAGTGATTTGCCTCAGAATGAATTGTACGTTGAGTCTCATTCATGTCTGATTTAGATCATTTCATGAGGATTTGAATTTCGATTTTGAAACTGATGCTGGGACAAGTGGGCACTTTGAGGGCAATTGGGACAGAATGAATATATTTCACATGTGAAAATTTTAGAGTGCTAGGAGCAGAAGACCAAGGTCTGGATGTTTATGTCCCCCCAAAACTTATACATTGAAATCCTAACCCCCAAGGTGATGACACTAGAGGGTGAGGCCTTAGGGAGGTGATTAAGTCTTGGGCAGACCCTCATGAATGAGAGTAGTGCCCTATAAAAGAGGCCAGAGAGAAACCCCTTGCTCTTTCTGCCATGGAAGGTAAGCATTAGAATGCTGAGAAAGTGGGCCTGCTATGCTTTAAATTCCTCCCCCAGAAATGTGTATATTAACACCTCCAGTGTGGTGAGAAATTTCTGTTTTTTATAAGTCATATGATTTATGATATTTTGTTATAGCAGCCCAAATGGACTATGATAATAGCCAAAAAAGAGAATCAGTATCTTAAAGAACTATCTGCACACCCATGTTCACTGCAACATTATTAACAATAGTCAAGATACAGGAATTACACAAGTATTCATAGACAGATGAATGGATAAAAAACATTGGTGTATCATTAATCTATTTTCAGTAGAATATTATTCAACCTTAAAAATTAAGGCAATCTGGGGCCAGGAGATGGTGTAATGGTTATGTCACTGGATTCCCTAGTGGACCGCACCCGGTTAAAGTCCCAGTCCCAGTGCCAGGTATGTGTGCGTGCATGCCCAAAATCCTGCGAGGATAAAGGAGAATAAGGGATTGTGGTGTGGCCATCCCCAATAGAGAGTGATTTCTCACCTTCTGTCTCTCTGTCTCTCTGGCAAGTACATGTACCCTATAGCAAAAACATCTATCTCTAAAAAAAATAATAATAATAATGAAGGCAATCAGGCCAGCTGGTGTCCTGGTGGTTAAGGTAGATGGACCTCTCACAGCAAACTGCACAGTTGAAGCCACAGACCCAGTGGCTCTAAAAACATGCCAGGTGCATGTGCATGTGTGCCCAAATCCCAAAAGGAGGGAGAATGGTGGAGAAGAGATTTTGGCCTGATCATCCCCCATGGAGGCAGCTTCCTCACTTTCTCACTTTCTCTCTCACTGTATCTGTCTCTCTCGCTCTCTCTAATGCATATACCTGCTCTCTGGCAAATTTTTTAGAAGAAAAAGAATGAGAAGGGGAGGAAGAAGACAATTCTATCATTTGCAACAAGGATGTACCTAGAGAACATTATGCTAAGTAAAATATATTAGACACAGAAAAACAAAAACTGCATGATATCACTTATATTTGGAATCTAAAAAGTCAGGCTCATAGAAGCAAAGAATACCATGGAGGTTTCAGGAGCTAGGGACTGGGGAAAATGGAAAGATGTTAGTCAAAGAGTATAAAGTTTCAGTTATGCAGGACAAAAAAATTCTGGAGATTAATCCACAACATGGTGACTATAGTTAATAAAACTGTATTGTATTTTTGAAAGTTGCTGAGAGACAGATTTAAAAGGATTTTCACCACACCAAGAGGAAAGGTCACCATGATGTAATGGATTTAATTATCTTGAGCTAATCATTTCACAATGTACAAACATATCAAAGCATCATTCTGTACACCTTTAAAGTACACAATTTTTATTTGTCAATTATATCTTAATAAAGTGGAGTAGTGGGGTGGTGTAGCTGCCTTTGGAAAATGCAACCCACCACATTAATCAAGCATACTAAATTAAAAAGAAAAATGAAATTCCATTACTATCAAAATGCATGCCATATTTTTAAAATTATATTCTTAATATAAATAAAAATATCATTAATTATATTACTTTCAGCTTCTTCCCTTACATTACCTATTTTTATATCATATTCTTCCGTTAGGTGTTTTATTTTCTCCTCTTTTTGCTCTGATTTATGACCACATGTCTTTTCCACTAGCATAATTTTATTATTTAGTTGATCAGTGTAGGATTTCTTCAGAACTTCTGCCTCTCGTCTCAGACTTTCCTCTGTTTCCTTGTAAGTGTCATCAGAGAAGTACGCCCCTCCGTTGCTCTGCACCATGGTCTCTATCAGCTCCACCAGCTCCTGCACTTGACCTTCCTTCTCAGCCTCGCCTGCTTTGTTGTCGAAGGCACAGCAGCGATTCCCACACTCCTTAACGACCGTTTTTAGCTTCTCATCTGACTCTTCTATAAAGTCACTGAGGCTCTGATTTTCCAGCTCATCCTTGCGAGTGAACAAGATGATCATGTACTTCATGGCTGGCTCCCCAAAGACAGCCTTGATCAGTGCAATTGTTTTCAGCTCTTCCTCTGTGAAACGGCCCAGTCGCAAAACCATGATGATGGCGTGAGGGCCTGGGCAGGAGTAGATGACGCACCTGCTGATTTCAGTACATGTGGTGTCCAGGCTGTCCTTGGTGTCAAAGAGCCCCGGGGTGTCAACAAGGAGAAGGTCTCTCCCCTTCCATTTCCGGTATGCTTTTTGACAAGTCTTAGTAACTGCATGCGCAGAAATTTTAGAAGCAAATATTTGTGCCCCAAGGATAATGTTTGCTGTCGCACTTTTCCCACTCCCAGTCTTCCCTACCAGAACAATCCTCAGAGTGTTGTCCTGATGGTCAGCCATGTTCATGTAAGGAGACTCTAAACCTTAGGGTGCACAAGACCTTAAGGAAGAGGAGAGAAAATAAGGGCCAACTTAAATAATGGAAACCATTCCCAACTCTCTTCTTTCTCTCACTGAAAATTTGTGCTCTTACATTATCCATATTGATCCCTGTGGCTACAAGAAGATGAAACAGTCCAATTATATGAAGAAATAACAAAGGAGGTAGAGTTCCCTGCAGTAAAGTGCAGATGGTCTCACAGGGGGGTTTTATTAAAACTTTAAAGACATCATTTCAATGTTGCTTAGATCTTTCCACTATTTAAAAAGAAGAAAACCTTCAAATTCTTTCTATGAAGCAAGCATAATATTGATCCCAAAAGCTGAAAATATTTTGTCATAAACAAAGCTATAGATGTGTCTCATGTGTTACTATTGATACGAAAACTCTAAATAAATTATTAGATACTACTAAATAACACACCATGACTGTCTAATTTATTTCAGAGATACCAAGGTGGTTCAGTATGATAAAATTATTGTCACAACACATCCCATTAATAGAAGAAAAAAATTTCTTAGATTCAGAAAAAAAATTTAACATTGATTCATATTTAAAGCATTTAATAAAATAGGGATCAGTAGATATTTCTTTTAAATGATTCTCTGTTAAGTATAAAATTTGTTAGTTTTTCCCCCATAAGGCACATGTGCTCACCAGAGACAGAGCCTCTTAGCCACCATATCACCTGCTGGCCTCATAAATGTAAAAAAATTTTTGAGATATATTTGCTATAGGGTACATGTGCTCACCAGAGAAACAGAGAGACAGACAGAAATCACCCCATCCCCCATAGGGGATGACTGTGCTACAACCCCTTTTCCTCCCTTTCCCTTTGGTATTTTGGGCACACTCACACATGTGCCTGGTGTGCTGGGTCTGGGACTTGAACCATGATTGACCATATGGGAGTCCAACACCTTAGCCACTATGCCACCTGCTGGCTTCAGAGCTGAAAAACAGGTCAATTCTAAAACTCACTTGGATGAAGAAAAGAATAAGTTAGCCTGGACAATCAAGAAAAAAAACATACAAGGGAAGGTAAGCTGTACCCAAAAGTAAAACATGATAGTCTCTCTAATTAAAGTAGTATGGTGTTGGTAAATGGAAAGAACCATGACTGGCTCCCCAAAGACAGCCTTGATCAGTGCAATTGTTTTCAGCTCTTCCTCTGTGAAGCGGCCCAGTCGCAAAACCATGATGATGGCGTGAGGGCCTGGGCAGGAGTAGATGACGCACCTGCTGATTTCATTACATGTGGTGTCCAGGCTGTCCTTGGTGTCAAAGAGCCCCGGGGTGTCAACAAGGAGAAGGTCTCTCCCCTTCCATTTCCGGTATGCTTTTTGACAAGTCTTAGTAACTGCATGCGCAGAAATTTTAGAAGCAAATATTTGTGCCCCAAGGATAATGTTTGCTGTCGCACTTTTCCCACTCCCAGTCTTCCCTACCAGAACAATCCTCAGAGTGTTGTCCTGATGGTCAGCCATGTTCATGTAAGGAGACTCTAAACCTTAGGGTGCACAAGACCTTAAGGAAGAGGAGAGAAAATAAGGGCCAACTTAAATAATGGAAACCATTCCCAACTCTCTTCTTTCTCTCACTGAAAATTTGTGCTCTTACATTATCCATATTGATCCCTGTGGCTACAAGAAGATGAAACAGTCCAATTATATGAAGAAATAACAAAGGAGGTAGAGTTCCCTGCAGTAAAGTGCAGATGGTCTCACAGGGGGGTTTTATTAAAACTTTAAAGACATCATTTCAATGTTGCTTAGATCTTTCCACTATTTAAAAAGAAGAAAACCTTCAAATTCTTTCTATGAAGCAAGCATAATATTGATCCCAAAAGCTGAAAATATTTTGTCATAAACAAAGCTATAGATGTGTCTCATGTGTTACTATTGATACGAAAACTCTAAATAAATTATTAGATACTACTAAATAACACACCATGACTGTCTAATTTATTTCAGAGATACCAAGGTGGTTCAGTATGATAAAATTATTGTCACAACACATCCCATTAATAGAAGAAAAAAATTTCTTAGATTCAGAAAAAAAATTTAACATTGATTCATATTTAAAGCATTTAATAAAATAGGGATCAGTAGATATTTCTTTTAAATGATTCTCTGTTAAGTATAAAATTTGTTAGTTTTTCCCCCATAAGGCACATGTGCTCACCAGAGACAGAGCCTCTTAGCCACCATATCACCTGCTGGCCTCATAAATGTAAAAAAATTTTTGAGATATATTTGCTATAGGGTACATGTGCTCACCAGAGAAACAGAGAGACAGACAGAAATCACCCCATCCCCCATAGGGGATGACTGTGCTACAACCCCTTTTCCTCCCTTTCCCTTTGGTATTTTGGGCACACTCACACATGTGCCTGGTGTGCTGGGTCTGGGACTTGAACCATGATTGACCATATGGGAGTCCAACACCTTAGCCACTATGCCACCTGCTGGCTTCAGAGCTGAAAAACAGGTCAATTCTAAAACTCACTTGGATGAAGAAAAGAATAAGTTAGCCTGGACAATCAAGAAAAAAAACATACAAGGGAAGGTAAGCTGTACCCAAAAGTAAAACATGATAGTCTCTCTAATTAAAGTAGTATGGTGTTGGTAAATGGAAAGAACCATGAAACAGAAACAAAATATTTAGAAATAGACCATCGTTCATATTACATTCATTTATAGTCAACTCGATTATCTTTCACTTATACTCCATAAGGCAGTATCTCATCTCAAAATGATAGACAGTTTCACAAGCAACATTGGAATAACTATAAAAGCATATAGAAAAAGATCAAATTGAGTCCATTTCCTCATGCCATGTACATTCCAAATAGATTAGGAATTTAAATGTAATAAGTAGGCCATATAAATAATGAAAGATACACGGATTTGTTGTAGTTATTGTTATTTAGGGGTGGCAAAAGCATATCTAAGACTTACAACAGTATAAAGAAAATACTGACAAATTTGATTACCTAAAAATTATGTCGTTTCTGGCAAAAAAATAATAATAATATCAAACTAAACATAAATTAAAACACAAATGTCAAACTAGGAAAAATGTTATCCAGTTTATATCAAAAAGGGTTAATTTTTCTATCATACAAAGAATATCTAAAAGTAGAAAAACACAAGAACAATAACTTAATGAAAAATTGAGCAAGACAGGGGCCAGCAGGTGGAGTGGTGGTTAAGGGTGCTGGACTCCCACATGGCCGACCATGGTTCAAGTCCCAGACCTGGTGGCTTGCTCTCTTACTTTCTCTCTCTCTCTCTCTCCCTCTCTCTCTCACTTTGTCCCTCTCTGGTCAAATTAAAAAATAAGTAAATAAATAAATAAAATAAAATAATTATTTAAAGAAACAAGAAAATTGAACAAGAGATATGAAGATAGTTCAAAGAAAAAAGAAATGTAAATGACCTTTGATCATATAAAAAGATATTAAAATTTATCCATAATAAATAAAAATACATGCATAAAGAAAATTAATTATCTTTCTATTAATTACAAGTGCAGGTTTGGCAAAAGTCAAAAGCCTGCCTGCATGATCTGTTGGTAAAGATATAGGGGAAACAGATCATCTCTCACATGGCTGGTGGGAGTGGGAAAATAGTTTAAACCCTACAGAAAAGTCAGCAATATCTTGAAAACTTACATATGCATTTGATTATTAACCTCAATTTTAGAATTTATCCCAAAGCCACACTGACAATATGGAAGGAAGTTGCCCAAGGCTTTTGATGGCAGCACTCTTAGTAATAGTAAAAGACCAAAAGTCTATCAAATGTACATGATGGAGAGTGGGGAGGTGGGGAGGAGAAGTTGGATAAACTAAGGTATAGTCACACCGTGACCCAGCTATAAAGAGAACTAAAAAATATCTCCATATCCCAGTCTAACGAAATCACTAGGCAACATCATTAAGTGAAAAACCAAAGTAGAGAAAATAATGTATACTTTACTATTATTCATATAGTAAGGACAAATGAGAATTATATATAACTAATATATATGTGAAATTCAATGGCAAGATCATCTGAAAATTAAAAAAACGTTTCTTATATGAAGATGAAGTACATGGTGAAAGGAACCTCAATAGAAACTGGAAACTAGACTTCTTTAAATATACTTAACTTTTATAGATTTCACCTTGAAGCCACTTAAATAGTTTACATAATTATATAAGGAAAATTATATATATTTTTTTAGGGGGAAATGCATTCTTTTTTTATCATCATAATCTTCTTTATATTACATTGGATTACATATAACTTTACAGTGTATTACATTGCTTTTTCAAAAGGGAATGCCATACATGTCAGTCAGTACAGAGACATTAATCTCCCCGCTTCAACATTCAATATCTTTTCTATGTTTTCCCCAATCATTATTGTTATTCTAATTATTTTTAAAACAGTCAATTGTTATTTCTCATTTTGCTTGTAAAAATGCTTTGCCCATCATGAAATACTTCTCAGACCAATCCAGTTGAGAATACTATACATGTCATCATCAACAGTTAATAAGCCATATCTGTTTCTCACTAACGTCCTGCCTCTCTATTGTTCACTTGCTATCTTTCTCTATCCTCTTCTCTTTACTTCCCCCATAGGAAAATTATATTTTAAAACACCAATAAAAATCATAAGAAAAAGAAACATATTTGTGTAAATGTATTTTGTGTGGTGATGGACCACATCAAGAATTGGTGAGGGACCAGTAGTTAGCATAATGGCTATGTCGCTGGACTCCCATGTAGTTGACCATGGTCTGAGTCCCGGACCTGGTGGCTTAAACTCACGCCAGTGCCTGTGCGTGCATGCCCAAGATCCTGAGAGGAGAACGGAGGAGAAGGGATTGCGGTGTGACCATCCCCCCTAGGGGAGTGATTTCTTGCTTTCTATCTCTGTCTCTCTCTGTCTTTCTGGCGAGTACACACATCCTATAGCAAAAACCTCTCAAAAACAAACAAACAAAAAAAAAGAATTGGCGAGAGATCTGAGAATGCAATAATTTCACTGTCCTTATTCAGGGGATATACCCTAAGGACAAAATCAAAATGAATCTGTAAAAAATCTTACACTGCTTTCAGGAATCATATTCAGTTTAATGGGGGCTGGGGTGCATGCAGTTTTCCATTTAAAGGCATAAACAATGGATGGTCCAGTAGCAATGAGCACCCTCAATGCCCAATTTGTGATCTTCCCACCAAAGAAATGAGAGCTCCCAGGAGAAAGTACAGATTCTAACTCCAAGCCAACCTGAGCCAAGAACATCTTTTCGTACTAGAAGGTAACAGTGCTATCAAAGATGAGTGCGGTGGGGTCAGCAAGTGGCTTGGTGGTTAAGGTCCTAGGCAGTCCCACATGGCCAACCATGGTTCAAGTCCCAGACCTGGTGGCTTGCTTTCTCTCTTTCGTGTGTCTCTCTGGTCAAAATAAATAAATGAATAAATAAAATTAAATAAATAATTTTTTAAACAAACCTTAAAAAAAAAAAAAAAAAGCACTGCAGTCCAGGGACCAGCAGTTAGCGTAATGGCTATGTCACTGAACTCCCACGTAGTCGACCGCAGTTCGCGTCCCGGCCCCGGCAGCTTAAACTCATGCCAGGCGCGTGTGCGTGCGTGCCCAAGATCCCAAGAGGAGAATGGAGGAGAAGGGATTGCAGCATGGCCATCCCCTCCGGAGGGTGATTTCTCGCTTTCTGTCTCTCTGTCTCTCTCTGTCTTTCTGGCAAGCACACGCGCCCTATAGCAAAAACCTCTCCAAAAAAAAAAAAAAGAATCACTGCAGTCCTATCAAAGGAACTGAGAACCACTTTAAAGAGGCTCAACCTGGATAAAGATAGTGCAATTTGAGCATTAGTAACAACAGTAGTAATAATTCCAATTACTGGAATATAACAAATACATGGACATCAGTATTCACATTTTCCTAGAAGTTAATCATTTTCTCTGGAGCATGCTAGGAAAATGATGCAACATTCTGAAGACTGACAAATAAGGGAAAATAATCAAGCATTGATTGGTTTTTTCCTATATCTCACCTTTCAACTGTATCTCATGAAAAACAAGTAAGTTGCTGAAGAAACATTTCTTTGAATAGGATTATTCAATCTCATAAATTAATAAATAATGCTGGAACTAGAATATCATCATTTGGTACCCGTTGATGAAAAATAAGTTTATTCTAGACAATCATTAATGTCTGCTAACAGCATAAAGAAGTAGATAACCAACCATCATGTGTCTTCTAATGAAAGTTGGAAGTATATAACAACACCTATGAAGTATTTCCACTTAAAAAACAAGGTCAAACCTTGGTCTAACCAAAACTCTCCATCATATAAAGGCACATGAAGCACTGGAACTAGGTGAGGACGTTAAATGACATCGAAGGGGTGTAATCAGCGAAAGGAAGGCTGTCCAGTTCTGTTGAACAAAAGACCTCCCTTTTCGTAAATGCAGAAATTTCACAGAAAACACAAAGGTGGTAGCCTATGTATGAAGTGAAACTTAAGACATACCAAACAATTGCAATTTATGGGTTTTATTTATATCCCACTGCAAACAAATTGATAATCATTAGACTATCAAGGAAATCTGAATGCAACTGGTACTAGAACATTTTTAAAGTACAGTTGCTTGTTAAAGTCTGATTATGGGACTGTGATTACATTTTTAAATAAACTTTACCTTTCAGAACTACTCAAGCAATTACTTATAAAAATAAGGTACTACCTAACATTTGCTTCTTAAAATCAGAGGTAGAACGGGGGTGGATGGGAAGTAGACAAAACAAGGCTGGCACAAGTTGGTAATTGTGGAAGTTTGGCATAGGTACATGGGAGCTCCTTATCCTATTCTTTTTACCTTTGGGTAAGTTTAAGTTTTTCCACAATAAAAACTTGGCCTTTGTGTAGTGTGACCGCTACTGAGTGCGATTGTATAGCAGAGCACTCTGGCAAACATTTTTCACACATTAAGTCATTCACACCTCACAAATATGTATGGCAAAACTGATTTTATTATCCTAATTTTTATGGAAGGCAACTGACCTGACTGGAAACTTTCCCAAAGCCAACAGGTATTGGGTAGATGAGGAACCCGAGTACAAACCTGCTGGCTCTTTATGCTCCCACTCACACAACTGCCTCATCTTGGGTTCTCCTCAGGTCCCAATTCCAAGTGTCGGTTACACTGGATCAGAGATAGATCAGGGCAGTGCGGGGACAGTCCACACGTCTCCAAAAGGTGACCTGGGAGCTGTTGCAGCAGGGAAGTCCCTGAGGAGAGCCACGCTTTCTCAGCTAGTCTTTTTTTTTCTCTTCCCTTCTCAGAATCCCATAAAGAGAAACTATCAAAAGGGGGGTGGGGGGGAAGAGAGAGAGACCAGCAGTTAGCATAATGGCTATGTCGCTGAACTCCCATGTAGCTGACCATGGTTGGAGTCCCAGACCTGATGGCTTAAACTCATGCCGGGCGCAGCGCGTGTGCGTGCATGCGTCAAGATCCCAAGAGGAGAATGGAGGAGAAGGGATTGCCGTGTGGCCATCCCCCCGGGAGGTGATTTCTCGCTTTCTATCTCTCTGTCTGTCTCTGTCTTTCTGGCGAGCACACATGCCCTATAGCAAAAACTTCTACAAAAAAGGGGAAAAAAATGTTTAAATGTTCTCGAGTGTTTTTGGAAGACCCAGAGGGCCTCCAGCTAAGAGAAGGGTAGAGAAGTGAAACAAGCCTGTCCTTCGGAAGTGAGCAGCCCCAAACTGGGGCCAAGACCCACCACTTCCAAAACTTTCCTTAAGTTCCTTGAGATTCCATTTCCTCTGCCACAAGAAAAGGAAAAGAAAACCTACCTTGCAGAGTACCGTGAGCTTTCCTAGAGTGGTTTCTGTAAAGGTCTCTTCCATAACCCAGTGCCCAGCAGACACTCAGTACAGACAGAGCTGCTATAAAACGCTATTGGCATGAAAGAAAACCATGACTGAAAAATGACTCAGTCACTCAGAGCCAACTGGCGACTTAGAGGTTCATCAGGGTCCCCTGTGTCTGCAGCGTGACTGCTCCTGTTCCCACAGCACGCCCTCCTTCCCCACAGGATCCACTATCAGGTCCCAGCTGCTCCCTCCACATGTGGGAGTCAGCAGACTGAGCTGTCACTCTCCTCGTCCTTGGTGCCCTGGCCCTGGGAGAGTCACCGGACTCTCTGGGATTCTGCTTCTTGCTTTTTCTAGTAGACAAGTGGTCTCTGATGCCTTCTAGCTCTAAAAATCTGCCTTGAGAGCACTTCACTTCCTATTACGGTTGTCCGGCCACAGCTAGCACAGAGCCACCACGTGGAGGGAAGGTGCGCTGTTCGGTACAATGTCCAGCTAAGTAGGAGCTGAGCAATCACCAGGCTAATAACCTCCGTACTCCCCTCCCCCCACTACCTGGCAGAACCTTCCATCCTCTCCTGCCTCCCTACCCAGCAGCAGCCTTCAATCTTTCATGTAGCTCTGTTGGCTCAGGACCTTGTCCCTCCTAGACCAGAACCCACCCCCATGCAGACACCCTGTCCCCTCCTGCCCCTCACAGCTCTATCGCTCTGGGTCCTCTTCTCAATCAAACTCACCTTCTTCTGAACACGTCGATGAGGTCTCAGGTTATCCCCAAGGGAGCTGTTTGAGTTGGTGCTTTTTCTTTAACTGTAAGGCAAAAGTGTTTGTGTCCCCACCAAAACCTCTCAGTCAGGAAGCTTGTATTGGGAGGAGCCAGTAAAGAACTTACATTTAAAGAGACAGAAATATTTTCCATGGTTTAATGAGGGCTTCCACTTTCCCAAGTTAAAACCTTTCATTCACATGGCTGCTATTATAACAAAATTTTCAAAGGTATATTTTTTGCTTTGGGTTCTAGTGATGGATCCAAAGAGGCCTTATCAAATGACCAAATATTGCCCAGGGAGCTACACACAGTGCCTGATCACCTTCCCTGGGTGGGATGAGAGACCAAGAGGCCATTTGGGAAAGAAGAAATGTATCTTGGTGTTACCAAGTGTAGGATATGTGATTTATAGTATGGATTTTTTAGTGTAGTATTTCAGAGAGTTCTCAAGCTACTCATTCAAAAATAAAGAACAAGCACCGAAAAACAACGCCAAAAGAGTCTATATCAGTAGAAACAAATAGAGAAAAAAGGGTCTATACCATCAGAAAAAAAGGTGGAAAAAATCTGCCAATGACCATACAGCTTTTTTTTCATATTTTTTTCATATACTTCCTCCAAATTAGAAAACATGCATAACCTGACAAGAAGCACCCCGAGAGGGGTCTGCCTTGGTGTGGTGGTTAAGGCAACTGCATCCACATGGCTGACCACACAGCTTGAGTTCCAGACCCAACACGCTGGGCATGCATGCAAACCCAAAATCTTGAAAAGAAGGAGAAAGGAAGAAGAGATTGTGGCATAACTCTTCCCCACAGGTGGTACTTTCTCACATTTCCCTGCTCTGTCTCTCTCCAGCAAGTGCACATCTCCTCTAGAAAATTAAAAATAGTAACATCAACAACAATAATAATAAAAGGCTGCACCCAGAGAACAGGCCCTCTTTGCCCTCCCCCTTCCTATCTACCACATCCTGCTGCTTCAGACTCAGGCCAACTTAGATTGTCCTGAATTTACCTAGTGGATGATTCCAAGATTCCAACCTGGCTGCAAGTTTTTTGAAATGAAAGGAATGGTCCCAAAACTCTCAAGGTTGACCCAGATGCTCCAAGTGACTTTGCATCACCATGAAAATGTTCTATTTCTATTGATAGACATTGTGCCTTGTACTGTTTATTTATATGTGCTCAGGGCTTATTCTGCTGCTACAACACTAGATGAAGCTTAATTTTGTAAAACATTGCAGAAATAATAACAGAAGATGAAAGGAATGGTTTATGTCTTTTTTTTTTTTTTTTTTTGGAGAGGTTTTTCGCTATAGGGCACGTGCGCTCGCCAGACAGACAGAGACAAAGAGACAGAAAGCAAGAAATCACCCCCCAGGGGGGATGGCCACGCCGCAATCCCTTCTCCTCCATTCTTCTCTCGGGATCTTGGGCATGCACGCACACACGCTCGGCGTGAGTTTTAAGCCATCGGGTCCAGGACGCGAATCGCGGTCAACTACGTGGGAGTCCAGCGACATAGCCATTACGCTAACTGCCGGTTCCCCAGGAATGGTTTCTTACAAAGATCTGAACCTTATACAAATTAACTACATTACCTTAATGTACCAATATTCTATTGCTTCTGCAACAAATTTCCAAACATTTAAGGGCCGAAAACAACACAAATTTATTCTCCTTCAGTTCTAAACTTCTGTAAGTAAGAAGACTAAAATGAGTCTTATGGGGATAAACTGAAGATGATCACAGGGCGAATTCCCCTGGAATCTACAGAGAATCAGTCCCTTGTCTCTTTCTGCTTCTAGAGGCTGCCAGCATTCCTTGGCTTATGGCCACATAACTCTAATCTTTGCTGTTATCACGACATTGCCTTTTTGGTCCTTTGACTTTGTCCTCATCTTATAAGAACATTATATTTTGGACCCACCTGGGTAATCCTGAATAATCATACCGTCTCACACTTCTTGATTTAATCACATCTACAGAATCTATTTTCCTACAAGTAGCATGCATAGGTTCTAGGGATCAAGACATAGTGACCTTAGATGGAACCATTATTCAGTTTACATAGACTGTCCTCTGCCCCTAAAAATTCATTTTTATCCCACATTCACTCCATCCTAACATGCCCAAAAGTTTCAGTTCATTCCAGCATCATCTCAAATGCAAAAATCTCATCTGATTATCATCAATTCAAAAGCCACAAATCTCTTCATCTAAATTTTAAAATCATGTATGGTTGAGACTCCACGATATTCTATCCCGAGGAAAAATTCCTCTTCATCTGAGCAGTTGTAAAGCTTCACAACAGATTATCTGCTCCCAAAATACAATGGTAGGACAAGTTTAGGTCAACATGTATAGACACTCCCATGCAGGGAGAAAATGGAAGACAGAAAAAAGCCATCTGTTCCAAGCAGTATTAAAATACAATTAGTTTTCAATCCATTCATCTATCTGTGGACATTTAGGTTGATTCCATGCCTCAGCAATTGTCAATAATGCTGCAATAAACCAGCACTTTTCTGACTGAGTGTTCTCTTGTCCTTTGGGTAGATACTACTCAGTCATTTAAAAAAAAAAAAAAAACACCTGCTTTAGTCATTAAAAAAAAAAAAAAAAAAAAAAACCCTGACTTTTGGTAGAAAGTGGATGAATATGGAAGATTTACTGCTAAATGAAGCAAGCCAGGCCCTGAAAGAGAGGCATTGTATGTCTCCACTTAATATATACCAATTATCTGCACTCTATGGCAGAAACTGGAAGGTTAGAGGATATAGAAGCATTGAAAATGGTTATGGATATTGGATACAGTGTGGAAAGAAGGTATAGGAAAAAGAGGAGAGTGTGAGGAAAGACATTAAGTAGAAAAATAGAGAGACAAGGCATTTATGGGACACATACATGGATTATTATGATAACATATATAGTATCCTCAACTAGACTGATGTGAAGTGTATTATTCATCTTCATAAAATTCAAAGGTATGTATAGTGATTGAATGTATAAAAGAAATTAAAATAAAATGAAATAAAATAAAATGAAAATGAAAAAAATCCAATCAGGTGGACTACATTAGTTTCCAAGGGTTGATAATAATAATTCTCTGTGCCTCCCAGGTCTACCCTCTGTTTCTGACTCTGCCATCTAAATAAATGCTTTCTATTTTTCATGAAGAGATAGGTAGCACATGATTTCGCCTGGTGATTTTTTTTCATCAACCTATTTTCTCTCTAAAGAATTTTGAAAGTCTGGGGCCAGCCTGTGGCATTGTGGTTAAGGTGACTAGATCCCACATGGCCAACAGAGTTCAATTCCAGGACCCAGCAGCTTGAAAAACATGCCAAACAGGATGCTGGGCCCAGTGCAGAGACCGCAGCCAGGCAGCAAGAAAAAGTCATCTGCACTCACTGGAGAGATACACAGAGACAGAAAGTGAGAAATCACCCCCCTAGGGGGATGACCATCAAGCAGCTGCTGCCTCAGTGACCAAGACTTTACTCTGCAACCGTGGTGGTATTGAGGGGAAGAAGGGTACACTTTCTGTCTAAAATAGCTGGCAGAGGGTTAGACCAACTCTCTCAACTCCCTAACCCAGGAGTAGTGATAATCTATGATGCTGTGAGACCATTTGTTGAGGAAGATGTCCTCCTTAAAGTTGTCACAGCTACTAAGGAACATGGGGCAGCAGAAGCAATTCAATCTCTGTGTCTACAGTCCTCAGTCCATCTGTCCATGGCTGCTTAGACCACTCACGAGAACGTGCCAAACACAGAGCAAGGGAAATGTCTCAGGCTTTTTATTTGATGTGATCTGTGAAGCTTTTCAGCAGTTCAATGATTGTGACTTGGAATCTGGAACTGAGTGTTCGCAATGGGCTCTCAAGTATTGTCACCCTGCAGCCCAACTTGTAGAAAGATCATCTGCCTCTAGAAGGTGACCTGCAAAGGAGATCTGCCTGTGGCTGAATCAATTAGGGAGAGAATTTTGCAAGAGATTTGTGTAGCTATGAGGAAAAAAAAAAAAAAAAGAGGATACAGACCATGTGAGTCATCTTTTCAAAGAAGTGCCGAAGAACAAATTAAATGATGTAAAAGTCACACCTAGGGCTCTGTGTCATGCTGGCAGCAAACTTTAGCAAACCATTTTAGAGCAATGCTACAATTTTGTTTGTGTGAATTATATCGCAATCTGAGCAATGCAATTTACTAGAATACATTATTCCTCATCCATCACTCATACAGCTGACTCAGATGGATCATGAGTCTCAGAGATCAGAGAAGAGGTTGCAGCTTTCTCAGAAGGTCATTTTAGACACTAACTGAGATTATTTTTAGGAACTTTTCATTTTCTAGGTTTCTCTGAATCTATGTCTGCTTAATCTCCCTCCCCTTTACTTTATCCTTTCTGAACTTAGATCTTTTTACAGAAATATTTGGCTTTTGTCATCAATTTATGTAACACCAAAACAAAAAATTTATCAGGTGATAAGGTGGAAAAGTCCTACAATGGAGTGTCTGCAAGTGGAAGAAACTGCTGAAAGACTCAAAAGCAGGGAGGCAAGAGGTATAGTTCTAGTTCAAGGTCAAGAGGACCCTCAGGGAACTGCAGGTTTAAGCACCTTGGGGCAGATGATGTTAGGTGTCCAAAGTCCAAAGGTTAAAGAGCTTGGAGTGTGTTTTGCTAGAAGGCTGCAAAAAACAAGAACTAGCAGGAATATATACAGTCAAAAGCCGAGCTGTGGGGCAGGAATGGAGGAGGTGGATGTGCAAGAGTGGAACACACAGCATGACCTGAAGGAAGGTTGAGAAATAGGCCAGGAGGAAACAGAATTTCCACTCCCTCTGCTTTCCTCTTCCATTTCCCCAACCGAATGGATGACTTCCACAAATACTGAAAGCAAGTCTTCTCTTAGCTCATGGACTCAAATGCCAATCTCGTCTGGCAACACTCTCACAGACAACCCAGAAACAATATTTCACCAGTCATCCAGGCATCCTTCAGTTTGGTCAAATTGATACCCAAAATAGCCATGACAGCAAAGTTATTTTT